AAGACTGCCCGGCTGGGAGCTCAAATTTTAATGGAAATCTGCCCGCGAGCTCGAAATTTAATAATTAATTTAAATTCCGCGTGATTTGCTCACGCGGAATATGTAAAAACCTTAAGCCCCTCGCGCCGTTTGAAAAAGTTACTAAAAAGTAACTAGGTAATTTAATATGGCGCGAGGGCGTTCAAAAATAAGATATTATTGCTCGCGGGCCTCTAAATAACAATAATATATAGTCCCCACGCCGGACTTTCACCGCCCGCCTTTATCACTATGTCGCACGAGAACGCGGCTTAAGGCAGGCGGCGCCACGTGCGGCTTAGACTCGCACTGCGTGCTGCCACTCTAGCGAACCGCGCGGTACGCGTCGCAAGAAGTAAATACGCGCGAGTGACAGCGGTGCAGTGCGAGTGCAGTGATTGTTATTTAATTAATTAATAACGGCCGGCCACGGGTATCGTGGATAGTCGGCCGGCCGTATACAAACAAGGAAGCGATAGTTAAATGCCGCACGTGGAGTGTAGGCCCAACACTGACCGTCTCCGTGCGCTGCAGGTTGCACCCTCCGCACGCTGCGTGCACTACGTAATATAATAATTAATTAGTTAATTAACAGGCAGCCGCTCCGTCCAGCTAAGTATTCTACTTGTTTTAATATTAATAATCGTCAGTCTTATAGATGTGATCTCACTGTGGCACTGCTTTCAGGTTATGCACACCGATTAATATATATGTGCATCCAGCCACTGCACCGGATGGATAAAAATAATAAATAAACTGTCAGAAGGATAAAAGAGATGGTAAGTATAGAATTATTGTCAGTCTTTATAATCGCTCGCCGTGTTGTGTCATATTAATAAAAATTTCCTGTTGCAGATGTCATGCAGGTGAAATAGTAAATATATAAATAAAATAAATAAAATAAATAGATAAATAAATCGACAACACAACGATGGAACGACCAGCAGACGGACACAGAGACAAGTAACAAGAATTATTGCTAATAAATCACACAGGCTACTGCATCGATGGAAACTGCGCTGTGTGCATATATGTATATAAAATATGTGGTACTTATTAAATTGTTAGATTGAATTGTGAATAAATAGATTAAAGATTTTAAATACTTAGCAAATTAATATATAAACATGTAACTTTGTCAGGTTCTCGCCACATCCAAGTCCAAATCTGACACCTAACCTATCATTTAGTTTGACAGTTAGTACACTAGAGTTTTATATTTATGTGAAATTAATAGTAATTTAAGCTTTTATTTATGCAGTGGCCGTTCAAGCAGAGACAACAGGCGTAGTGATGCCTGCCAATTATTCAATTTGATATATATTTCAATGCATATAGTTAGAGTAGTATTATATGAAATTCTTTCTCGACAGCTGCCACAGTGAGATGCCGGACAATATAATGCGATAGTTCTGGAGTGCAGTGCAATATGGAGCGACTGCAGCAGCCTATTCTACGCGCGGAGAGAAATGCAAACGCCTGCAGCACTTATTATATGGGCCCATGCATATGTGGCAGTACTGGTCATCGACTCACTCTGCGCAGCCAAAGCGAGGTGCTCACTATATGTGATATTTAGTGTAAAAAAAGTTTGTGGTTAGACAGTTAACTTGAAAAACAGTCAATTGAGCAAGTGACGTGATTATTGTGATATATATTTATTAGGTTAACTATGTACAACTGTCACTGCTGCTGTCTAACCTATCTGTATCACAGACTGTATCACACCGCAGTCTAATAATATATAATTAAATAAATAAATAAATAAAGAAATAAATATTAAA